TGACTGAAATATAATCCTAAATATTTTTTGAAGCAGTTTTTTGAGCAGTAGCAACAACAAAAAAAAAAGATTTTCAGGAAAAATGTTTTAAAATTTAGAGATTTTTCCTTTGAGTTTGCAAAGTTTAGTTTTTCCCAGCTGGGAAATCACAATTTTAAATATTATTTTTGAGGTTTCCTTTTTATAATGACATCAACTTGTTAAAATGACATAAAATTAGGAATCAGAACAAATATTAATGTTTTCTTGTGATGTGCTTTATGTGAATGCAGGTACTATGGTATGTGTACACAGATAAGTGTGTGCACATCTGGTGTGTATTATTTTGGGTTTATTTATTCGTGTGTAATTAGTCCAAGTGGTTTTATTTAATTATTTATTTTTTGTTTGTAGGTATGGGAAAGGGTATATTGAGTAATCAATGATTTGACATGTCTGGAATAAATCAAATCAAATCAAATCAAATAAACAAGACACATTAAGTCATATCTCTGGAACCGCTCATGATATCAGGATCCAGGTTTTAAAAAGTTACTTTTTAGCCACAAATCTGAAAGTGTGATTAGTTCATTTTGACTGATTTTAACTTGATCCTTGTTCCAAAATGATGGGTCACATATTAACAATGGATCGCAAACAATGTAGAACATTTAAATATATAACAATAAAAAAATCTTAAGTTAAGATTGTTATTATTGTATCGGTGAACACATGCACGATACAAGAAAAAAAAACATCAGCCAACAATATCCATCGAGCCCTAAATTAAAGATAAAGCTTATTTAAAAGAAACATTAATTCAAAACAATCAAAGATTATATACTTTAAATAATTTTTTAGCGCCAGTGTGCACAATTATACTAGACATGCAACTGAAGGTAGATTTATACTTCCAAAAGTTCACACAAATTCCATGAAAATGTCGGCTTTATGTAGATTTATGTTTTTATGGAATACTTTACCTCAAAACATATGAAATTCAAACAACTATAAGAAGATTTTTACAAGGAAAACAATTATGTTGAATGTTTTTTAAATCTTATGTGATGTAGATTGTGTATGATTTTTCAGGGTATGTGTTGACTGACATATTAAAATAATKTTTTTGTAGAAAGTTTTTTCATTGTAGTAAATGAAAATTTGTGACTGAGTTGTTTTGTATCCGTTCTTTATTCTGCGTGTTTAATCTGTGGCCTCTATTTTTATATTTGTGTGTTTATTTATATTTTGTTTATTGTGTAGTTATTTTTGTTTTGAACTGATGTGAAACTGTGGATGCCATGTATTTTGTGTTGTTTTATGTTATGGACCCCAGGAAGAGTCGTTGCAGGAACTTCTAAACTGAAGTTACTGATTTTAGCAAACAAACTTCATGACGTGTTTGTAAAAGTTCAGCATGTCCAGATTCAATAAGAGAAACATTTGTTGCTCTCAGCAGAGTTTGTGAATGTTTTTAGCTGCTATAGAAGAA